CTATTGTTTGCCTCTGTTCGTCCTCGAAGTCGAGAACAATTAGAAATAATTAGAGTGTTTCTGTTCTCGAGACTATAGACACTCGAGAACGAGACAACTTTATGAATGTAATACATGATGAAGTACATATGTAAAAAAAAAGAGATAGAGAAATAGATAAAAAGCAAAAAGAAAAAGATGAACGATACGAAGTAGTCTGTAATCTGTATCCGTGAGGCGATGGTATACTGTGCCACGCCATTTTTAGTCGTCTCAAACTCTTTTCCTCCTCCCATTCCTTTCGTCTCTTTGACCCCTTTCTTTGACCACGGTAAACGAACGTGACGTAATAAGACATTAACATTTCAGATTTCCAGGTTCGTTAACCGACCGATAATATCGAGGCCCATCCTTCGTTTCTCTTTTTGAGTCCATTTTTCTAGAAAATGTTCTAATTTAAAATATAAATTTAAGATTGTCTAAAAATTTTGTCTTACATGTTGATTACATTGTCCATATTTTAATATATTGTCCATACTTCGGTATTAATCCAATTTTTAAAAAAGAGATTGAATAATTTCTGATGAGTAATATTGTATTAGTTTAATTCCATACCTGTGTGGAATAAATACTTTCAGAAATAATTCAAATAAGTGTTGAAGATATATCAGTTTTTTCTAGAGATATTATTATAGAGAAAATAATGAAGACCTCTGTGATTTATATTGGAAATATATATATGTATATATTGAACTATATAACATGTTCAATGATTGGTAGATAGGTTAAAACACGCGACATGCATTTTTCAATAAGTATTCAAACTTCAATTTTTATCTAATATTAGTGTTTCAAGGTCGCATCAAATTATATATCTATTAGAAATAGATATGGTGGAATGTCAGACATTTATAGAAAATGTAAAAGGATCTTTTTTAAAACGTAACGGGTGTGTGAACGGTAGTCACACGATCCGTTGTCAATTACGTTTACGCATGCAAGTTGCACGCTATATCATGCAGGATAGGTCGTGAATGTTTATAAACGAAGCACGTATCAGCCGATACTCGAGTCCTGCGTATTGCACAGGATCGAAATTCTGGCATCTTTAATCTTTAGATAATAATTATGTATCAATTTTGATCTGAAACTACTTTATATATACCTGAATATTATTATATCGATGTAAAAAATTAGAAAACTATACCGATAATATTATTGAAAAATATATTATTCATATTTATCTCTTATCTTTCTACTTCTACACTTATATTATATACTTTAAAATAATAATAATTCTAAGATAATTCTAATCTATAATTATATAATGAATTGTAATAATTATAACAAAACTATGATTAGCTACAATAATAAAACTATGATAAAACTATATAAAACCTATATAAACCAAATAATAAGATATTTAAATAAAATAAAAAGAAATTATGATAATTATATTATAAATCAATATAAATAAAATATATATAAATATATCTTATGAAGAGAAAAATCTCTCTGACATCTTTTCTCCTCAAAGTTTTAAGTTATATTGCGTGACTTACTAGAAATTCATTTGTTTCGTTTTTGCCTTCGTCTTATCGCTATAAACTAAACATTCGACGTTGAAGTTAAAAATGAACTAGCTATCGTCAAATAATAGTTAATCAAACTAATAGTAACAATAAACATTTTCTCATTCAATAACTATTTTCATGCATAAAAGAATGTTTAAATTCCGATTGAAAACGGGAAAGTGGGAGGGAACGATGTATATACGGAAGAAGAGGCGTCAGAAGCCATTTTTACAGAAGAGTCCACTAAATGTACCGTTGAATAAAATTACACATACCGCTTTGCCCGCTAGACAGACGAATCCAGCCAGCACTCGACTTCCCTTCTCACTCGATGGACTGTCATTTGTGATGAAGTTTCATACGCGTGTCATACACCGTGACGATTGATAAACACGTTAGTTGGTCGATTTTTCGTACGTTTGTCTCGACAAGTTGTTAACGTCTCCTTTAGTTGTTAGAAGGAGACGCCGACCACGCAGT